CTTGGGAGGGGGGGGCTCATACTCCTATCAACCCCCCCACGCTGCTTGGGAGGGGGGGGGAATTCTGGGAATTGAAGTCCACCCATCTTAAAGTTGCCAAGGTTGAGAAACACTGCTCTAGTCATTAAACCCCTCAGCTCTTAGCTCATCAAGAGGTGCTTCCGTTCCAACAGGCCTCCTGCCCCAGCATAAACTAGGAGAATTGTCCGGCATGGTGAGAAGATGGAAGACAGACGAACAAGAGCGCTGAAGAATTTAGCTGGGAGCTCACAGGAGGAGAGGATAAAAACTGGAGTTCAGCTGAGCTGACAGAGGGACTTCAAGTGGCCCATCAGAAAGGAAGGCCAAGTTGGAGAGAGAGGGCACGGTGCTTCTCACGAGAGGACAATCAAAGGGGCTCCCTTTTTGGTATTCTGATATTGTACTCAAAGAGAGGCTCTCATGAAGAAGTACTGCTGCTCCACGGGGTGCTCAGAGAAGATCATCAGCCCTTGGCAACTCTCCAACTGAAAGTTATAAGGCAGCAGATGTGGGGACAAAGCCATCCTCTAAGCTGAGACCCAGAAACCTGCTGACGGGCAGAACGGCCAATTCAGGAATGGAAGGACCAGCCCCCTGATATGGGGCACCTTCCACCCAGACTCCATTCTCTTACTTGTTGTGCATGTAAGCTGCCTGTTGGTAGCAGTCCTTCCAAGACGACATGCACGAGATGCAGCTGTGCAGAGTTTGGCGAGTAGAGTTGATGTAGCCCTCAAACAGCCGGTCCAGAGAAATGTCTTTGCAACACATCTGAATAATTTTATTGCTCATCTGGGGGGAAGGCAGAGAGAGACCCTTCAGAACCCCCTCCATCCCATCCTTTCGCTAGTGGACCAAAACCACAGGGACAAGTGTCAACATGTTCTCCCATGTGAACATGCCTAGAAGATCCAAATCAACTCCACCTTCAGAGGAGAGGCAGGTAGGAGAGGGTTAGGGTTTCAAGTTAGGCCATGATTCTGGAACTCTGGACCAGCTGGCTCCTGTTATTTTGGGCAAGTGGTCCAAAGCTTTTTTATTATCCCAGGTTTCTAGTGCATGGCTGGTATTTTACAGCATTGACCTGCTTCCATTATCTGTTGGTAGATTCAACATGTTTACTATTTGGTATTTTTGCATTCTTACAACGTGGCTGAGTTTTGCAAACTGTTCTGGCTGCCATGCTTTGAACAGAAAAACAGTTTGGAAATGTTTAATTTAAAAAAGTTTTTCTTTTTTTTTTAAAGGGGGGGGAATAAAAGAAAGGCAGCCCCAACCTTCCGGAAGAGTGCTGTGATCCTCTCTCTGCTGTTGTAGTACGGGGAGTTCACCCACACGATACGGACCAGGCTGATGAGATGTGGCAGCTTCTCAGGGATGTCCTTGGGCCGTAAGGTGGCCAGCTCTTGGAATGGCTCTTTCAGGATGGAGAGGAACCGGAGGTTGGACTGGGCCTGCTCTGACCCATCCTGCAAGGAGCCACAGACAAAGACCATCAGGGCAGTCCCTGGCCAGAGAAGGCCGGGGACCCAGCCCCCTCCCTGCTCCAACCTGGATCTGTTTGGAGAGCCGCTGGAAGGGGGCCACGTAGGAAGACTTGGAGAGGCAGAGGATGCTTTCAATGCGCTTCACCCCCTGCTGGCACAGCTGCTTGCTGATCTCCGAGAGGTCGGTGCAGCGGTTCCTCCAAAACTCAATCTCTTCCAGGGGTCCTGAGCTTTCCCGGCTCTCGACCGCCTCTTGGGCCCTCAGCACGTCCTTGATTTGCCGAGTCCAGTGAATCATGGAAGCTGGAACAGAAGAAGCGGGATGGATGATTCCTCTCCCGGCCCTGAGCTTCTCAGCGTGGGCCCGGGGGCACAGTCGGCAGGCGGATTCCTGCCTTGGCACCGCTCGGCTCCCTGCCCCTCCCACGTCGCGGTCAATTTCAAAGGGTCTCCAAAGGGAAGGGCTGCCAGAACATCTTCTCCATGTCTGAGAATGTCTTGGGGCTCCAGGGAGACATTCTTAAGAAATAAAAATGGTAGGTGGTCATCGCATTTGGAAGTGTGCCCAGCCTCCCAGAAGAAAGACAGAGCGCCGTAACCAAGGTCTATGGGGAGAGGCTAGAAGGGGCGTCAGGGAACAAGGCCTGTGCTGGGTGTTGGCCTGTGCCTGCGCGCACACCAGCTGTTTCGGGAACAGCCCACAACTCATTCTCGGCATTGCAGCTTCACCCCAAAGGTTGGCAGGGGAGCGATGTCACAGATTTCTGGGGATTGTCGTCCTCTCGGTTCACGTCTCTGTGGGAAAGGCCGGGACCACTTTCAATGGCGAAACAGGGGCTTGTTATGGGGACAGAGTAGCTGGGAGGCTTTGTTCATCGCTCCACGCGACTCCTTCTGCTGTCTCACAGATTGAGCCACTTAACATCAAGAGGGGACGTGTGCCAGCCTGGAACGTCCGGTCGCCAGACAGAACAGAGGACCGAGGTCCAGCTTCAAGCCTTCTTCCCGGGAGCAGAGGCTTCAGGGAACAAGCCCTTCGCCTTCCCTCCCACAAAGAGGACCGAAAGAGGGGACCCGACGCAGGGCCGCTAACGATGAAACCCGCTCCTCTTCCCAGCTGACGGCCCAGGGGCCTGGCATATTGTCATACGGCCCTTTCCTGGGTGGGTGAAGAGGGAATGGGGAAGAAAGCAACCCGGTGCCCTTCAGAGAAACCGGGCACCTCCCTTGGAGAGGGAAGATGCTCTCCCCAAGTCCCCGGTGCCATTTCCCTTTGTTCCGTGCAAGCGCGCACGGCTTTGCGCATGATGGTGCAACTGGTGCTTTTGTATCCTGGCACTGTGTTGCTCTCTTGGAGATGAGAAAGCAGCAGTGCTGGAACACAGGGCGCTCTTTGTCCCAGCCGATCTCTAGGCGAAGGCATGGTGGCTTGCCAAAACGCACTGCCATCCCTGCTCTTTGGCTGCTGCGTCTGGGCGGGCGCAGAAATTGCCTTCTATTCAGGGGCGGATACCTGACAGATCCCAAACGCGTTGCATCCGAGCCTGTTGCAGAGGGAAGCTAAGAGGAGGCCCAGCCTGTCTCACTTGCAAAGGGGGGTCTTCCTTCCTGGCCCTGAAGGAGGGAGGCCCCCAAAACCGCCAAGCGGACAAGGCCCCCCGGAAGGAGGATCTTCCCCCGAGGAGCCGCTCGCCTCCAACGGCGAAAACTCTGGAGCAAAGGCAGCCAATTAATTTTGCTGCCTCCCCAGCCAGTCTCAGAATGGAAGAGGCTAATAGCTACCGCGCAGTCATCTACGAAGAGTTAGTATCGCAGCGTGTAAGCCGCAGTCTCCGTGCCAAATTACGGGGTAAAACAATCACACAGCCCAGGGATTGGAATGGCCAAGTATCTCTAAGTGCTTGATAACAGCTGAGGTTTTAGTCACACAAGAGGCAGCCGAGGTAGCCAATTGGATACGTAACCCAAGGATGCATTGCCATGCAAAAGATCCAGCCAGGGGAAGAGTTTAATGCACACGGCACATCGCCGGCTGGGCGCTGCCAACCGCACCAGCCTCTCATTATGGGACAATCATGTGAATTTCAAATCCTCCATCTGTGTTTGGCAGTGGGAGATTTCTTCATAGCGCTTAAAAACTTTTTAAACTGACATATTCCAGATTTGTTTGCTCTCTTTCGTTTCCCGATCTGCGGACGGAAGAGAAAAGCACCCGCGAGCCAACCAAACCGTACCCTTTCCTCCTGGCTGCATTGGCTTTTGGTATCCTATTTTAATCCAGAAAGCGGGGGAACGGGAGGAGACTTGCACCGAGTCTGGGAAGTGGGTCAGTGAATGCCCAGCAGGCTTGGGACGGTCGAAGGCAACCGTAAAAGCCATTCCTGTTAATGGCATCAGCGTGACAGAGCAGAGGAAGACAGCTCTCCCCGACTCCCAAGGAAAACCAGCACGAGAAAGCCAGCTGGATGGACGTTTCACGCGCAGGGACAGCCTGTTTGCAGGTGCGGGCGGGCCCCGGCCGAGCCCGAGTCCCCAGAAGGGGAGCAGCCGGGCTGACGCCTCCAGGTGCAGAGGGAATGCTTGAGCGCACCCCTTCAAGAGGCAAGGTTTGGCACCGTGGGGCTCCGTGGGGCTCCAAAGGAAGGGCTCCGAAGGACCAGGTGGCCAGCATCGTAGGCTATCGTGGCCGTTTGCACGAGGAAGGGACTCCTCCCCTTCCCCAGCTCGGTTTTATTATTCCTAATAGAGACGTGTGCACTGCATAATTCAGTCAACATCTTTTTCTCCTTGTCCGCAGCGAGACGTTCAATTGAATTTGCGCAGGGTGGAACAAATGAGCGGCTGCTGCAGATCTGGTCGGCGACGGCTCTCAACAGCGTGTTCTGCCGGTGGGGCAGGAGCAGAACCGCCGCAGGGCCCAGGGCAGGCGCGAGGGAGGCGCAGGGGAGCCAAGAGCCCCCCCAGTTGGCTGGGCCGTACCCCGCGCAACGGCAGCAGCCAAGCTGGGATACACAACCCAGAGATGCAATTCTGGGGATGAGGGAGACGGGGAGTGCTGCTGCACCCCCAGGTCACCCCCACAGCTGGTTCCCCCTTTGCGCTCCCTGCCCCAAGGGAATCTCTGCTCCCACGTAATTCTAGCAGTCCAAACCCTGATCTATCCTCTCGCTGTGCCCGAGGAGTATCTCCGAACAGGAACCAATTGCAGGGAACAGCCCCTCTTTGTCTCTCCCAGCGTTTCTCAACCTCGGGGAAAATTTAATACGAAGGGGTGGTGATATTGTTTGATTTGAGTGTGACAGACTCATAAATGA